AAGTGCAAAGCAGCGCTTTTGTTTAAGGTATGGTTACACTGTGTTTAAGGTATAGTAACAAAAGCTTCAAGTTTTGTTACTTTGGTCTAAGCATGTGTCTACAGTGTTCACGCAATAGGCAAAAACTGTAATGATATTTTTAATGCTGTTCATTTGAGCTTTTTATTTATCAAATAAACCTGGAAAAATTGAACATGGTTTCCACAAAAATATGAAGCAGCACAACTGATAATAAGCATAAATGTTTCTTGAGCAGCAAATCAGCATATTAGGATGATTTCTGCAGGATCATGGGACACTGAAGACTGGAGTAATGATGCTGAAAATTTCTGCTGGACAGAACTGCCTCATAGTGCGGCATGCAGGGAGATTGGACTTGTTTTGTGGTTTTATCAGTCAGAGCTCATTTAGGATTTCTATGTAGTGATTCAGTATTAGTATATGGTATCTTTGTATTTAGTATATAGTATATTTGAGCTATTTTTGATCCACACATTTTGTATCAAGTGTGCTAATTAAATAGCATTATAGAGGTTTGCATTGTTTTATTTGATAAGAGAAAATGACAGGTTTTTACATTTGAGAAAATTAGCATAATATCTGAGCTGCTGTTATGATCTGCTACTACTCCATATGACTTGTGCACTACATTTGATGCCTTATGAAGCTATATGATACATTTGTGTGAGGAATATGTGCATATAAACTCTACAACTGGTCTTGAGACATGCGTTTTTAATCTGTGCAGCCCTTGTGAAAAAGGACTAGAAGAAGTACAGTACTATTTAGCATACTTAAAAAGTTTTAATTTATGCTAAATAAAGTTAGTTGAACTTTCAAGTGATTTTTGACCCACTTTATAAGGACATAAGTGCATCTTTATATGTAATTTCATGTTTTTTTAAATATACTTTTAAGATTTGAAGTACACTACAGGTGCACACTCAATACAATTAAGCACAATGCTTTTCTTAAAAGTCCTAAAAATCCTAAAAATCACCAGTAAATTTCATTGTATTGAAAAGTGTGGCTCAGTGATTCTTCAATATTTTGACTAAAGATCATAACTCGTATGGGGTTTTGTCTAAATTCTTAGTCTCCATCACTATCCCACTGATGTTGTCTGTGGTGTTGTCAGGTCGGTATGGTCTCTGCTCTACCCCACCTGGTCATGACCATCATAGTGCCAATCGGCGGTCAACTGGCTGACTTCCTGCGCAGCAAAAACATCTTATCCACCACAACCGTCAGGAAAATCATGAACTGCGGAGGTAAGAGTCACCACATTTCATTAGATTAATTGTATCTTGTGTTTGGAATTAATAGAAACATTATGGCATGGTGTGACCTTTGACCCACACATCATTTGGTTATAGGGTTTGGAATGGAGGCCACTCTGCTGTTAGTGGTTGGTTTCTCTCACAGTAAAGGTGTGGCCATCTCGTTTCTGGTGCTAGCTGTTGGTTTTAGCGGCTTTGCTATATCAGGTGAGACATTCACACACTGACGTGATACAGGCTTCAAGTTTTGAAATCCCATTGCATTCAACAATATCTAAAATAAATGTCTCCTGATATTTCTGATTTCTTCCTTTATCCTGTCCCTCTTCAAGGTTTCAATGTCAACCACTTGGACATCGCGCCGAGGTACGCCAGCATACTGATGGGTATTTCTAATGGAGTGGGCACTCTCTCTGGTATGGTCTGCCCTCTCATTGTAGGTGCTATGACCAAAAACAAGGTGAGAGATTCTGAGAAATTGGCCCTACTTTCATTATCACATGTTTATTGCTGCCATCTGACATATGAAACAATAGTTAGAAAAATGTAACTTTTTTTTTTAATGAAACAGTTTATTAGACAACATATCAAACTATATTTATATAGCGAAAAACGTTTACATATGTGTTTTTAGTAGCATTTAATAAATGGCATTCTGATTTGTACTGTAAATCAATGAGATATTTATAGTAGACCACATCATCAAATGATAAAAATATAATTTTTCACTCTATATCTTATAATAATATGTCTTATTAAGATCATATTTAAAACCTTTTTTTAAATAGTTAAAAAAAAAGTTTTATGATCAAAGCCCTGCACACTGTAAAAAATGACCGTGAATTTAACGATAAAAGACTGTAAATACGCTACAGTAAAAACCTGTTAAATGGTTAACAGTAAATTCCCCTATTATATACAGTGAAAAACTGTATTGGACATTACATGTAATTTTACGGTAGTATACCGTTTTTGGAAGTGAAAAAGACTGTATAATTTACAGTGAATAACCGTAAATTGACATTCCCAGAATTTCAAATTTGATGTATTTTTTTGTTGTTGAAATAACTATGTTTCTTCTTAGTTTTTATCTTTTCTTATCAGTTTTGTATATTAGGGTTGTGTGTTACACCTAATGTTGTTAAATTAATGTTTATTGCATTATTTCAGTTTCATGTGTGTTACCATGATGGTGTTTAGTGCTTGTGTGAATGACACTGTGCACCTTCTATATATGTTATTATTTAAAAGCTGCTTGTGATGGGCTTTGGTTCATCATGTGACTTTCTCATCACCACCTGCATTTGGTGGTTATCAGTGTATTACAAAGGTACAAAACAGATTTCAGTACTTCAATAGGTTGGTATATTAACATTATTTCAGTTAATGAAATTACGGTATTTAACTGTAAATTTAAGTTAAAACATTCAAACTTAAATGTTGCTACCGCATTTTTTACGGTAAAATTCCGGCAACCACAGCTGCCGTTTTTTTACCGTAAATTTTACAGATTTTTTTTTACAGTGTAGTTTTAATTGTGGGAATGAAAACATACAATGCTTCAATCGCTTCAGTCCAGTAAGTGTTCACCTTGAAATATTGCTAACAGTAAAACTTATTCTTATGTTTACTTCATAAAAATCAGTAAAGATTTCACAGCAAAAACTCACTTGCTAAAAACGTATAAACTATCAATCAGTCAACAGAAGACTTGTACTGTAGTTAGTTTGCATACAGTATGTTTTTCAGCAAAGTTTTGCTCATACTGATCATTTAGAAGCCTTTGAAATTTGTGTACGAATATGCAATAGGCAACAGGCTTTATAGGGTTAAACACACATGTACTGTTCAGAATTACATGCTACTATGCTTTACATTAGCATACCTGCAATACATTTGACAAAATGTGCAGGATACGAGAGAACACACTGCAGTGCACTCAACCTGACATTTCCAGTATGACCAATGATAGCTATATAAGCCATATTTTTATCATCTCTTTATTACACAACAGGTTTTACACGGAATGGAACAAAAATGCAAAACAACATTTCCAAGAACTAAACATGCAACGTAATGAGGTCATGAGACAACGATGCAGCATAGCGAATCTAAAATGTTTATTGTTGCATAACGCATATTGTTCGCATTCTGTTTTCAAATACTGTAGAAAGTATACAGTCAATCTGCTTTCTGAGCAGTAACAGGCATATCATTCTAAACCACATGGAATTACATGACAAAAAGTCAAAGACTGCATTCCTGAGTTTGTCTTTTCTTGTCCGTCAGACTCGTGAGGAATGGCAGAACGTGTTCTTGATCGCCTCGCTGGTGCATTACGGCGGCGTGGTCTTCTACGGGATTTTTGCGTCCGGCGAGAAGCAGCCGTGGGCCGATCCGGAGGAGACCAGTGAGGAGAAGTGCGGCTTCATCGATGAAGACGAGTTAGCGGAGGAGACCGGTGACATCACGCTGAGCCACGCTCCTTTCGGAGGCCCGGCCGCTCTTGGGGGCCCCGCCAAAACATATGGGGCCACGACGCAGCTGAACGGGGGATGGGCGAAAGGCTGGGAGAAAACCGAGGAATACATCCAGGAGGACGCCGAGCAGACGTATGCAGGAGACGGGTACTCCTAGATAGAAAGAGATAGATAGAAGAAATAAAGACAGATAGGCTGTGCTTAAGCATAGCTATCGGAGTCATTTTTGAAAAGAGTCTTTATCCAATCAGAAGTGAATAGAGAAGATATTTAAGAGGGCATAATAATAATAATAATATACAGAGATATTAATGAGAATATACTGATAATTAAATGAAAAAGTCATATTTAGGATTATATAAAGAATATGTATGGCTATGTAAATGTTTTCTTTAAAAATACAGATATGTTCAGTTATTACTGTGGTTTATGACATTTAATCAGCTGACAATACTTAATAGCACAGACATCTGTAATCAAAGCACAGGTCTTGGCTGTTTTTTTGCAGGTTTAAACCAGTTTGGTTTTAGTTTTGTGTCTTCTACTATAACTTTAGCAGATGAGTAGTTTAGTTTCATTGGTCAGGACCAATTAGAGTAGAGTTGAGATGAGTATAGTTTAGATAAATGTAGTTTTGTTCAAAAGAAACAAGTGTTTCACTCTGGTTTACAGAGCTCTTGCCATTGACCTTACAGAAAATATGCAAAATTTGGGTTATTTAACTATATTATATAACTTAAACCTACAAAGAATACTGTTTATCATTATGTACGTGTACTATATTACACATTATACACTAGTCCTTTTATTTGGGACATAAACCTAGAAGGTAGAGCTAAAAAGACATTTACTATTTGATGCAGAGAGAATCTAAAATAGCACAAATCTGAAAGATGATGTGTATTAAAACAAGTGTGAAATATATTGATAAACCTTTAAATGTTGAAACGTCCTAAAGTACACTTGAGAACTTTTTAAAGTGTAATCTTGTATAAGTTTTGTTCAGCTATATTTACATCAACAATACATCCGAGTGTGTGCTTGGCAATACAGTCCTGTATTTTAAGTGGTATTAAGCTGGTCTTCATTTAAAATGTTCAGTTTTAACCAACAATGACAAACCAGACATTTTCTAAGACACTTTGAATGCACTGACATGTTGTTATTTGGGAAAACAAGTAATTTCTATCTTAAGTGACATGGGTTTACTGTTTCTGTGAGAATGAATCTTGTGAATCTGGGTCAGTGATATCTGTGCTTACTGTTCTTATTGGGCCATATTTATCATAGAAACTGTCATAAGAGTGAGGTTGTCTGTTCGGGATGTATATTGTGATGCCACTGAGATCATTCCACATGTATGGTCAAATCCTGATCATCTGATGTATTTAAGTGTTGCCATGCAAAGCTGATGTAATATGTTGAGTGAATTTCACAAAACCTGTTAGGATGCACAGGTTCTATTTCATCTAAAAATCAAAAGAAAAGAAATAAGAAAATTAAGCCTGTTTTTAGGACCATTTAAGTAAAAAAAAAAAAAACATTTATAACAATCAAGCACATTTAGCCCCAAATTCTTATTACCGTAATGCAAAAAATACTATCAATACTACAATGCTGTCAAAGTAATGAATAAATAAGTAAATAAAAACAATAATAATCATAATAATAATGGCCCTACAGCTTGATTTTCTTTGAAACTTGCACGTTTTTGTGAAATTCACTCTGATCCTCCATTCATGACACAAACCAGTGTTGTGTTTAGTCAACCAGCAGTAATATAAGATGATGTGTCAAAGTCTTAAAAAAAAAAACTATTAAGAACATGTACTGCAATAATTTACTCATAACATCAGCAATCTTGTTATATTCAACATCTAATTCATTCATCAAATCTGAATTGTGTCTAGTTTACGGAGTCATTCAAATGGTTGGAGACCATCAGAATCAGAATCAGAATGTTTGTTCTGGTCAGAAAACTCAAGGCCATTTTCAGAGGTTGGGATCTGAGCCATGCTTTACGTTGTTCTGAAACTCAGCTAGATGTTTTCTAGATTTGTGTATTTTGTGGTGAATTTATCACAAACCTAAAGCTCTTTTCATGGCCTCTTGCCTGAGACTGAAGTGCACAAGTGATTGTTATATTCTATTGTTGTGTCAAACAAGCGATTTGTTGATGTCAAAAAGTGTTAAACTGTATGGATTGCTCACTAAGTGTGATTTTATATTCAATTATTCCAATCAAGACATTATTATTATGTCTTTCCTTTAATTTTTGCGACTGGTGGACCAAAATTTAAAGGCAATTTTCTGGTTTTGAAAAGATAAGAGTTGATGTTCTTTATAGAGTGTGATGATTATTTTTGCATGATATAGTCATTAAAATCATCCTGGGCATTGATTTGAAATTGTTGCGTCTCTTTTTTGTCCCTTTGTTTGTTTCTCTTACAAACATCAAAGTTCAGCTAAAGTTTGCATTAAATATGAATGTAAACGACAATACAGTTTTCAATGGTAATTACCATGCAATTAAATATTCAAGCAATTACATTCAGTTTGCACTTAAGTTTATTCTTTTAAAGTATTATTTCCATAAAATGTACACTTTGTAAAACTTTTCACGAGACAATAATATATACACGGGTTTGTGAAAGTGACGCTCCATCATGCTTCCTGTAATGTACATCCTCAAATCGTATTTAATATCCATCAAACACTCCGTCAGGACTTCTCTAGTGTGTAAACCTTATATGTAGTCAGAGTCAATAGATTTGACTCATTACACCAGTGGATCTGATTAAGGTGAATGACCTACAAAGGACAAATTACCGCCAGCAAATTAGATGGGAACAAATCACTAATCAATACCATTTTAAACCTGTACAACAGACTGCTGAGCGTGCTGGCCATTCATTTGTTATTTGCCATGAGAGTATAGAACAGAATTAAAGACCATACCCTCCAAGACCCAAACCAATACTAGACCATCCCAAAATCAGTCTACTGCCAGGCTCTCTAAGACCCAGACCAATACCAGACCCCCAAAGACTAAAACCTAGACTATACCATACCCCAAAGACTAAACCAGACCTTAAAAAACCCAGATCAATAACAGACCTTCTAAAGCCTAGACCAAAACTGGACCACCAAATACTAAAGCCTAGACCAACAGCAGACCCCCACAAATCTAGATCAATTCCAGACCACCAAAAGCTAAAGTCAAGAACAGTACCAGACCCCCAAAGACTAAAGCCTAGACCAATACCAGACCCCCAAAGACTAAAACCTAGACTCGTACCGGACCCCAAAGACCAAAGCCTAGACCAGGGTTCCTCAATTAGTTTTCGCCGAGGGCCGAATTCTGCCAACAATACCAAGCCAAGGGCCACTGACCTATATATATATATATATAATTGTTATT